GGGAATAGTGTTTAAAGATATCTTTATTTAACTTTGAGGAAAAGGATTTTTTTCCCATGCTCCCTCAGATAAAAAGTGAGAAAGTTGGGTCTATAAATTTCTTTTGATTCCCACTAACCTTCCTTTTTCTAAAAGACGAAAGCTTGTTAGTATTTTTAAGCTCTTATTTGATGCTACAGAGAAATGTTTTCTCATTGCTACCCAACTTATGAACCTAAGGGTGACAAAAGCTCAGCTCTAATAGAGTATACTGAGTGGAGCCTGACCATATTCATTTGTTTTTTAAAAGAAGCTTTAAGATTTTATAGAATGCTTTTATATCAAATTCCCAAAAGATTTGACCTAGCAGAGTGAACCAGAAGACCTTAACAGCTTTAGGGCCAGCTCTGCTACTCTTAGAAACTTGTGTTAGGGCTTCAGTGATTTGAGGAAACCAGGTTTTTAAAGAAGTAAGAGTCCTCGTGGGATATCATAGATACGGTTAATCAACAAAGAGAACAGAAAAAAGAACCTGATGTTTTTCCGCTTAAACAAGAAAATTGGCAGATGAGAGTAATGGTAAACATGGAAATTAGTAAAGACATAATGCAATTCTGTTGTTTTTTCTTCCCCCGTTTCCTCAAGCTCTTATTCTTTAGTCTTATGTTACAAATTAGTCCCTGGTACTTTCACTTCTGGATTCATTAATCTATATTACGAGTCCGTTATGTTCGAGGGACTATTATAGTTGTGTGTGAGAGAGGAACGCATAGGAACATGCATAATGTTCAGGGCACAAAAATAGTATGTTTGAAGAGAAGCCTAGATAAAGGGCTGTGAAAGTGGACAGGAGAAATGCTTCTGATGGGCCAACCAAGACAAAACTCTCCAGAAAGGTTACTGGAAAGCTCCTCTGTGCAAAGCCCCAAGGGCAGTCTGGATGGTTGGAGATTGGGGAGGGAGGAAAGAGCACGTGGGAAAACCATGGGAAGGATATTGGGAAAAGCAAACCTCCATTGGTTATGTGCAGAGTTCTCAGCACAGCTGGAAATATTTGTTCCAGGCAAATTGCAGACAGTCTTACATGTCATGTCCTTTAGTAATATGAATTTATCAGTAGTGTGTATGATTGACTGAAAAGCTACTAGATTAGATGAAGTAACCTGTAAAGACACCAAGATACTGGTTCAGACAGTTAGTAGTGGCGAGACTGACCTGGACATCTCTAAGAGTAAGATTGAATTTAACTTGGAAACAAAACCAGGAATAAAATATCATATAGGAACATCATAGGAACATCTATAAAAATTAAATCCAGTATTTTTTCCCTTTTCAGTCAGATAGAGCTCAGCATCTGTATTACTCTTTGAAGTAAAGTTATTTTAGCACATAGGCCTTTGAGAGTAATACAGTTCATTCAGAGGACACAGGGCTCAGGAAGGTCAGCCCAGTCCCGAAAGGCCTGAAGATGGGACTTGGGCCTTAAAGGACCCACAGAAGAGCCTCCTGAGAAGGTGGGGACTCCAAACAGCGTGAGCATGTTCCAGCAAACCAGGAGAAGCAAAAGCATTTTGCTGAATTATTTGTAGAACAGATACTGTGCTTCATTTGACTGCAGAGAATAACACTGGATTTAATTTCTCCCTCTACTCAGCAGATACACAAATATCTGTGACAGAGGAAAATGGCAGTAGATTAGTGATAGCAGATTGGGTGTAAGCAGTTCTCAAACTTAATGGTCTCAGGACCACTTTATACACCTCAAAATCATTGAAGAGCCCGAAGGGATTTTGCTCATGTGAATATCGAAATTTGTCATAAGTCAAAACTGAGAAGTTTTCCAAATATTTATTAAGTTAAAAATCATCACATAGTGAAAGAAGTCTGTCTAGAAAGACTGTGTATGTTGTGTGATCAAACTGTGTGACATCCTGGAAAAGGTAAAATGATGGAGACAGTAAGAGGGTCATTCGCTGCCACTGATCTCAACAGTCTTAATATTGGGAAGTTATCAAGCTCGTGGTGGCCAAAACATGATTTTCCACATTCTAATGTTCACCTAAAAGCTTGAATTTTATCATTGGCAACAAGTACTGTCAATTGTTTCTCTTGAGGCGACAGGCTCAACTTCATTTTCAATAAAAGGTTTACCTAGTATCCAAATTGAATAACGTCATTTGTCTGTCAGTGATTCTCTCAAGTAAGAAATGTGGTTTATGAAAAAGCTGCTTCAACTCACAGTGCAGACATTCGCATAGATGCTTTTCCTCTAGACATTGTACTTCTGTATGCAGCGGGAGTGGCGTGTGCGTACTTCCCATTTCATCACACAGAATATTAAAAAGACACACTCAGGCTTGAGATGTAGAATAATTAATATTTCTTCTGTTTCCTCAAGGACATCCTTAAGTGAAACTGTCTTCTCTATTTTACTGTGAGTGCACACTGGTAAAGAATAAGGTGTCAGGCTGGGCCTGGTGGCTCACGCCTGTAATCCGAACATGTTGGGAGGTTGAGGTGAGAGGATTGCTTGAGATCAGGAGTTCGAGACCAGACTAGGCAGTATAGCAAGAGCCTGTGTCCACAAAAAAATTTTTTAAATTAGCTGGGTGTGATGGTATGTGCCTGTAGTCCTAGCTACTTGGGAGGCTGAGGCAGGAGGATCCCTTGAGTCCAGGAGTTCAAGGCTGCAGTAAGCTATGATTGCACCACTGCACCCCAGCCTGGGTGACAGAGCGAGACCCTGCCTCTAAAAAAAACAAAAGAATAAGGTTACCTCAAATATAGTTTGATTCCTCTGCTTCGACTTATGTAGGCTCAGCTGCCAATAGGTTTACTCACCGTTGTTTGTCTACACCATTGGTGAAAATGCCAACACACTGGAAAGGACATAATGTCTTAGTATGATAATGAAAACAGCTTTGACTCTATGATCCCCGTAAAGAGACTGAGCCATCCTCAGGGGCCGCAGGCTACACTTCATGTATATTTTAGTGATAATACAGACATTTTAAGAACTGACTTTTTTCTGGGTTTAACCAAGTGAAAATTTAGCATGCTTGCATTTTTGGCTCTGGGATTTTTATTGTATTTATTTATTTAATTTTTGAGACAGTCTCGCTCTGGCAGCCAGACTGGAGTGCAGTGGCGTGATCTCAGCTCACTGCAACCTCTGTCTCCTGGGTTCAAGCGATTCTCCTGCCTCAGCCTCCTGAGTAGCTGGAATTACAGGCATGTGCAACCATGTCTGGCTGATTTTTGTCTTTAGTAGAGATTGGGTTTCGCCATGTTGAACAGGCTGGTCCCAAACTCCCCACTTCAGGTGATCTGCCCTCCTCAACCTCCCAGAGTGCTGGGATTACAGGCATGAACCACTGTGCCCAGCCAATTTTTATAATTTAAACAATGGAAATTCTGTTTAGAAATTAAAATCAAATATGCAAATTGAGGACCAAAGAAGAATAAAATGAAAAGTTCAGCATTTGAAATAACTGTCAAATCCATAAAGTATCATTTAAAATTTGATTTTACACCTGAGTGCACGGAGTTCAATTTTGCTTAGGAAATGCAGTGTCTTAAGACAGAGTCTTGTTCTGTGGCCAGGCTGGAGTGCAGTGGCACGATCTCAGCTTGCTGTGACCTCCGACTCCCAGGTTCAAGTGATTCTCCTGCCTCAGCCTCCCGAGTAGCTGGGATTACAGGCGCGTGCCACCATGCCCAGCTAATTTTTTTTGTAATTTTAGTAGAGACGGGGTTTCACCGTGTTGGCCAGGATGGTCTCGATCTCCTGACCTCCTGATCTCCCTGCCTCGGCCTCACAAAGTGCTGGGATTACAGGCGTCAGCCACTGTGCCCAGCCTTAAGTAAATATTTCATTCCTGTTTTCAGAATCTTTGTTTATATTATTGCTCTGTGGTAATTGAATGTTCATTAATCTGAAGAAATGTTGTTTTCTTGTGTTATTTGCATTGTTGTATTATTTGGGGGAAAACCACATTTTTGCATTTTTATTGAGACTTCTCTCTAGATGAGTGCTGTATCATTTAAAGGCAGCATTGCTAGTGTTTTCTGTCAAATGCTTCTTAAAATTAATTTACTGAGTCAATTTCTGGAGTAGAGCACTCAAGATTGAGATCAATACATGAGGCCTTTGTCTCTAGAAACTCAAAGATTGTGCTTTTCAGGTAAGATCATAGAACTTCTGTGTATGACCTTTTTTCACCACTGCTTATTGGGTGCACTGAGAGGGATAAATAACTCTCCGAGCCCTCTGTGAGTGCTTAAGACATAGAATTACACCTGTGATTAGATGAAATTGAGCCACATTGATCTGTTCTCACACTGGCCAAAAGAGGGGGACATAGACCAGGGAATGTGACTATAGTAGTTAGAAATGTTTACTGACATTGTATAGGCCGGGGTGGAACAGTGACACTTGGAAACAGAACAGTAGTATGAATGCTTTTATTTTTGTTGACTTGACCACAATTCTAATACATAAAATATAATCCATATGCTTAACAGCTATTATCTTACCCAAACTCAGGATGAACCTTGTGATATTGTAAAAATGAAAGCATGTTGAATTAATGTCTATAATTAATGCCTGCCAGTTTGTATTGACAAAGATGCCCAGACTTCTATGAATATGAGTAGAATTCAAGCTTAGAAAAAGAAAAGAATATTCTTGAAACTTTTACAGCTTTTACATGAAGAGCCAGTGCCTAGTTTTCAGTTTGGTTGGAATATGTAATAAATCATTTAGTCCCAAATTCTAGCCTGTAAAAAAATTGTCAGATACTAAGTTTACTTCTCACAGACATCTCACAGAGGACAGAAAAGTACAATATTTCTGATGTACAATATTTCTGATGCTCATGTAGCAGTGACATTGGTGATTCTATCTTTATCTCTTCTCTTTCCCAGCTCAAAAGCTAACGAACGGTTTAGTACTTAGGAACATATTTCTACATGTGTTTAAGTGCAAGAAACAGTCAAAAAAGATATGTGGATATGTAAATAAAGTCTTCATACAATAAGTTACTCCCTGTTCATCCACAGCAATAAGAAACTGGGATGTTTTGCGCAATATCTAATTAACTCAGAGTTAAACTTGATTTACTGATTTTTAAAGAATGAGAAAGTAAATAAGTTTTAACATTAAAATGGCAATAAAATGATTCTGAAAGCTGTTTAGAATCCTAAGAGCACATCAAGGTTATCATTTATAATATTCATTACCAGAAAAAAAGTTTATTAATGGAAATAGATTACATTTTGAGTTTATTTGGGTAACTATGTCTTTTTCTCTCTATTTAGCTCAGTAAATGTTGAAGTTTTTTGAGATCAAGATCTATTCCCTTCAATTCCGACATATGCTTACTTTCCTATAATAACTTTGAAACAAGTTTAATTTTAGCTTTTCTTTACAAATTTATGACTCATTACAAAGTGAAATTTTTATTTTTGATGAAAACAGATGCAAAGAAATAAAGTGACATAGGGCCTAGAGAAAATGGAGACGAGAATCCTAAACATTGTTCTCTGTAGGTTTTCAGGCCCTGCTAGCATCAGGGATTTGTTCTTTTAATAACATAAACTAGGCAAAATGGCAGCTGTGTTCAACAAATGATGCATATTTACTAAACAAAGCAAATGGAAATACCAGCTCTGAAGGAACAAGAACAGGTACCATGACTAAAGGTGTCATATAACCGCCAAATCCAATTTGATGGGTAGTTGAATCCATTTCCCTTTATCATCCCCCACATTTCTTTTCATAATTACTAACCTAAAAAAAGAGTTTGTGTTTTCTCCATTGATTTTTTTTTCCCCCTCCGGCCTAGAATCAAGCAGAAGTACTAGTGAGTAATGAAATAGCCTAAGGCAGACAACAGGGTAGAAAACAACGAAGTTGATTAATCAATCTGTCCTGAATAATCAAGAGGCTGTAGTATTATCTGTGATAAATCTAAATGGTAGGGACTTTTTTCATTAAAGCAAGACTTACTTTTACCTAACCAAAAGAGTGTACATTCTAATTGACTTTGGGACCAGTGTCTCTTGGAAAAGACATTAATTACCACTCTCCACTGTCCTTTGTGATTACCTATCATTTGCCAAAAGTTTCAACCAAGTTGAAATATACAATGAAACAACTGCCACCTTAAAACCCTTTGCTCTTTCAGGGCCATTGCACCATCATGGGTTGTTTTAGTCTTCTCCACTTACCTTTGATTGTGGGCTTCTGTAAGACTCTGTGGCTTTCACTTACTCCTGTGCTCACATGAGACTTAGTTCTGTCTGTTGGTTTCACTTATCGCTTGTTCTGACGCCCAAATCTAGATCCCTAGGCCTAATGCTTCACCCAGGCTGTAAGCCTTCATTCTCTCCTTTTTTTGAGGTCCCAGACTCCAAACCTTATCCTTTCTTATACTTCCTTCTTCACCACCACACTCTGATTATTCTTCTTAGTGGTACCTCTCAAATTTCTCTCCCACCTGATTTCTGTGGTGACCACTCAAGTTTGGGTCCTGGCCGTCTGGCAGGAATGCCTGACATTTTTCAGCTTCCTCATCCAGCTGGACTCCTGCAGTGGTCTCCTGACCGTTGTTCCTGCCTCTACTCCTTGCTGGCTTCAGCCTATTCATCACACTGAAGCCACAGCAGTGTTTTCAAAAAGTAAATTACACCATGACAAACCCTTCCTCACAACGAAAGAAGAGGCAATCCCAACCTCCTTTCCTGGGCTTATCATGTCCTGCATGAGTGGCCAACCCCAGGTTCTTTGACCTGTCTTTTATCTCTCCGTGGCTTTTGTACTCTGCCCTGGACCATTGCAGTAGATTGCCAACTGGTCTTTTCGTCCGAATGTTTTTTCTTAATTCATTTTTTTTTTTGGTCTATTAGATCAAGCTGGTACTTCTCAGGTTATTAAAGAAAGAATAGACCTAATATTTTGTACCTTTATTTACTACTCATTATACCAATGCTTAACTTTAGTAATGTCCATTTCTTCACTGTCCTATTCCTCCCATTCATTTCTGCATCCTTACTGTCATAATAACCGGGTACTTCTTCACCTCCATGCCTCTTTCCTCATTGTGTTTTTCCACCTGAAGCACCATTTCCATTCATTTTAGCACAAAGAAAATGGGCTTTGAGTTTCCCCCTCCCTGAGTATAACTTTAAAATCTACCCTGGTTTCTCTCTTTAAATTCTTACTATGTGAATTGTCTCTGTTTTATGCTAATAAATTCTTTTGCAGTGAACTATTAATTGCCAGTTGCTTTCAGCATACTTGTCAATTCTCCAGGTATTACAAGGCCCTTGAGAGTGGAATAGTGTCTCATGCTTGTCTTCTGGTAAACATACTATTTACTGTAAGACTAGGCAGACAGTAACTGTTGATTACTTGATTGAAAATTTGATGAATGTTGCCTAACTTTTTTTCAAGCCTGTGTTTTTGGAATATTTAAGCCTTCTATTTTTTTTCTCTCCTAGAAAACTATTTTTTAAACAACACTCAACTTTGTGAACCCCTGAAGATTTTTTGACCGTTCCGAGTCTTAATACCACACCACTATTCCAGCGAATTTATGCTACAACTGGTAACAATGACCAGAAGCCTGAAGAATTAAAATGCCAACACCAAACCTTTCCTTACCAGCTCTGGTCTATATTGCTCCCATGCATTTAATATATTATTTTGTTTTATAACCACTTCTAAATATTCTTGGTTCTTTCTTTTTTGTTGTTGTTAATTAAGGGGTTTTGGTTTTGTTTTCTGTTTACTTTGTGTGCAGCTACCTGCTTTTAATGACTCACTTTGATCAAATGACAGTGAACAAAGCCAGCCCAAGCTGGTAAGGTGCTGTTCACCTGAACAGGTGCTGTTGTGCAGAAAGGAAACTCTGTGACTAATTTAGATAGTGGCTTTCCTTCTTCTGGATTCTTTTCCTTGAATTCTCACAGTATATATTTACGGAGTTTCAAATTGCAGTAAATATACTGTATGAGAAAATATTAATACAGATAAAAAGCATTTCTTACATCCTGAAAATTTTCTAATACTTGAGAATTTCACAGGGATGTTTTTTATATTGGACCCTTTTGACTTTCCAGTCCTGTGACTTTCTACTTTTAGTAGAGAGTCAGGATCTCTGGACTGGAGAATTATGAAGAAGTTCACTGACTGTGCACTGTGCTTAGAGACCCTGCCGCACCACAGTGCCAATGCTTGTCAGACACATGCCCTTCGGCAGCATTCCAGAACAGGAGGGAAGAGAAAGAGAAAACTCTTTCTTCCCTTCTACTAAAAGATTCAGGCAGCTTAAAACCTTAGTGCTTTCTTTCTTAACAAACCCAAATTTCAATTCTTTCCATTGTTTGAACACTTGGGTAGAACTCTCGCTTTGTATTAAACCTCCTTGTCTACACGTGTAAAACTGACCTTTTGTTATTGAGCAGGCCTATCTCTTTCAGCTAGTTTGATGATTCACACAGGTTTGAGGACGCTGGGGAGAAGGGGAGGGGCTGTGGTGGTGTTCTGTTGGTTACAAGAAAGTTATACCATTTAAAGCTGGTACCAGAGACCTGATAGGGACTTATTAACTATATTGAACATTTTTTCCTTTGCCTTTGACCCTATGTATAGTTATGATGCCAGATTAGATTTATAGCAGCTTCAAGTTGTATTAAATGATATTTTGCTTCCTGTAATACTGTTACAAAATAAAGTTTGTTTATTCTCTAAACTTGTCACTTCTCTTTTTCTAAAGGTTTTTTAAAAACAAACTCGAGTGATTTTTTCATCAGAAGTCTTAGTATTTTGTGAAAAGTAGCATTTCAAAATCTGTTTTCAGCTCTTCTGTAATTTGATGATGCTGCCAACATCACTATTTGAAACGGTGAAAGCGACGTTGAAAGTTTGTAAATGTAATGTTTAACGTGCCAGATTCCTTCTGCCTGGTTACATAATCCATTCCAGCTTTTACAAATTCTCCAAGGGATATTTTCGCTTGTTTTCTTTGTGCATTTTTCATTTTGTTTTCAGGAAATATTTTAGCTGTACCATCTGAATCTTGCTCCTCTGCTTCATGTCCTTCTTTACTTTGTGTCCACTGGCCCTCTGTGTTTCAGGCAAACTAGGCCCCTGAGGGGCTGCATCCCAGTCTGATCGGGATTCTTTCTTGTAAAAGTTTCGTTGGGGCACACTGGGTTATGGTGCTGTTATCGAGCAAATAACCAACAGGGTACGTTTCTTGTGAAGTGTTATATAGAATTTTTTTCTCTAGTCATTTAAAGTAAGTACATTAAATACAATTTGCATAACTGTCGTCTTTGAGATCTGTTTCCACTAAATTATCTCTCGCCTTGTGAAAGGCCTTTCTCACTTTCTCTATAATTATTACAAAAACAACAACTCCCTGGAGAATCCAGTCTCAGCAAGCTAAGCCTCAGAAATACTGTGGAACCAAATGTGATTTTGCAAATGTATGTCTCATCAGAAAGTTTGTATAACACTCACATTGAAATCATCGGTTGAGCTTCCCTGGTTGTCTTGAAGACCATATTTGCAGTGACAGGAAGAAAGTTTGTCGTCACAGGTCCTGTGGACTAAGAAATGTAGTGTGCGGGGATTAGGGCTCAGTTTTATTCAGCTGAGACAGCAAGAATAGGGTTTAGGGCTCGGGGGCCATTGAGAGAATCTGTGGGAATTAATACCCACAGAGCCACTTGAAACAGTGGTGGTAATTATTCCCACCTGTGACTACAGGCACACGGCTGTCTTTGAAAAAAAAATTGTATTATAAAATGTTTCTCTGGCTGTTATAATCTCATCTGGTAAACTGGGCTAAATGATAGAATAAATAGGAAAGAAAGTAGATCAATAAGATTTTGGAACTCGGATTTGAAAAATTTGAAAAGTGGAAAGAATATTTTTAAATCCCCAATCTGTTTGATGGTAATTATACATTGGATGGTATTTTTGAGTACATGTTTTCTGCTGTCTTCTGCTTGTCACTCACATGTTAGACTGTGTGTCATTGCCTACATTGTGATAAATTCGAGGCCTCTTCTGACTGGCACACCAATTATAAAGTCAGAAAGCAAGAATCTTGTGAGCATGCTTTGAAAATTATAATAACTTTTTCGTAAATAGAAATCAGAAAATCTATTTTCAAAACGTGCTTAATGTCGTGAATTCTGAGAGTTATCAGAGTTCTGAATTTTGATGGTTATCAGAGTTGTGAACTCTGATTTCTGATACTCAGTCTGGCCAAAGAACTTGAGATTTCAACAAAAAGCTGTTCTTATTATCTAGGAATATTTACCTCTTCTGAATTTTCCAGTCGCTAAATTATGTCTGGAAAATTCTGGAGACTGTTACCTGGCCAGATTATTTTTTAAAAGGGTTTGCAAATAATATTTCAGAAAACATAAAATTTCTGTTTTATCACCTAGGTTTAGGATGTCGAGCAGTCATGGACCTGCAGTTTCCCAACACCAAATTGCCAAATTACCAACATGATTATCAAGAGGGATGGAAAGATAATATTTACAGCTTTGAGTTCATTCTATTAAATTTTTAGCTGGTCACAGTGGCTCATGCCTGTAATCCCAGCATTTTGGGAGGTAGAGGCAGGAGCATAGCTTGAGGCCAGGAATTCAAGAATAGCATGGTCAACCTACGGAGACCCTGTATCTACCAAAAAAAGAAAACCAAAAACAAATCCAAGTGAGGCTGTGCACTCCTGTCCTGTAGCCAGAGGCTGAGGTAGGAGAATCACTTGAGCCCCAAGAGTTTGAAGTTTCAGTGAGCTATGATTGCACCACTTCACCCCAGCCTGAGTGAATAGCAAGACCCTGTCTCCAATATATTATATAATATGTACATATTTTATTTATATATATATATATATATATGGTTTTTGGTAAATTTATTGAAAAGTAATGACAATGTGACAGAAATTAAGGCACCTATTAAAGTGTTTTATTGAAGGTCTCCAGTTGGAGAAACATTATCCCTATTGGTGAACTGTCTCAGATTAGAAACTGTTGAAATAAGATTAGGAACTGTTGTAGTGAGACCATTTAGGGTTGTGGGAGCATTTCTGGCCCCTGGTGAAAGGCCTTGGAGCATAGGTTGCAGCTGAATGTAGGATTATGTAGGGAGACTGCCGACTTGTTCTAGGTGGAGGCCAAGACAGCTTGTTTTGGCAGCAGGAATGCAAAGGACCAAAGCAGTTCGGGCCTGAATGAGATCTTAAACTGGACCTATGAGAATGAGAAGAGCAAAGGCGTGACTGTGTGGCTGCTTGGGAAAGCTGTGCTGGATAAAGGATTTGACAAATATGTTAGCAGTTCCTTCAGGAAGATGATAAACCCTGGAGACTTGTTCCTTAATGGGAAAATGAACATGTTTCTGCTCCTCTCTACATATAAAAAACATTCATGAATCTAGTCAGTTTCATTGGAGATTCTCTACTTTCATTGGATGGCAGAGAAAGAAACGGGTCTTGCTCTGAAGTACTTGGTAGTGCTTGGTGCTAAAAACATGTCTGTATAGAGCTCATCTGTTATTACAATAGCTCTGGACCAGCACCTGCCAGAGCCGGAATTGGGCTTCTAAAGTGCCCATTATTAGAGGAAGATGGAGCAAACCTTGATAGCTGAGCCACGAATTTGGCTGGCAGCTGCCTGAGATAGGAAGATGATGTGTCCTTTCACACTTACTGTTAAAGAAAGCATTTTTACATAAGCTGATTTCCACCAGGGGCTAAAAAGAGATCTCTCCTAAAACTGAAAGAATATTGTTATTCCTTCCATATGGCAAGAGCACTGTTATTCTGAATTAGTTCAGTCTGAAAACCCCAGCAGACATTTTCATTGTAATCAAAGGCAGTAAAATGCAGAAATGAGTGTCTTTATTCTAGCAATAAGTTTTATATTATGTAAGAAGTGCAAATGGAGACTACTCACGGAATGGGTATCAACAATTTTAGGGTGGGGCTGAGGGGAAGAAGCAGTAAAAATCCAGCACTGGTGGTGTATTATTGCTTTGGGTCATCCACACAACCTTTTGTATGACCGTAAGCCACGACTGAAACGGGCATTTCTTACAGGTGACCACATTGATTATGTTTTATAAAGTGGATCACTCAACCTGTTAGTGTCCTGCACAAAGATTGGAACGTAACCAGTCTTACACTTAGAATGCGTTGAACATCTTTGATTTATGTTAACTGGAAGAATGTGGGGAGCACAACAGTAACCACAATCTAGTTTAACTACCCCTAGAATTAAGTTTCTTTTCAAATTACTATGTTGTCTCTTTGGGGCTCCCACTGAAAGAGAAGAATTGCAGTGAAATGTTGACTTCTCTGCATAGTTAGAAATAGCTCCCTGTATTTTGGTATTACAGGCAAAGACTTGTATTCTCCTCCTCAGGAATTATGTGAACATTCTGTTCTTTCCTTTTCCCATTACCAAATTGCCAACATTTCCACGTCACATCATTTTGAAAGCTACATTTGTGGGTGAAACATACCTAGTGTGGGGATACTCCACTTGTTTTGTTCATGTTTGTGACAATAAGGATTTGTAAAAGCAATCAGAAAAAGGACAGAAGCAAAATCAGGTCCAAAAATGATACCTGAACAGTGTCATTTAAGAGTTGCTGAACTACAAGAGGAGCAAGTGGAAATATTCTTGCATACAGAATCTACTGAGCTCACTCCAAGGCATTCTTCTTTTGCTATTCATTGGATCTCCACCAAGGTTTCTTCACCTCTAAAATCAGAATAATACGGGTTCCCATGGGATTATGTAGTAAGGTGCTGCAGAATTTTATTTTTTAAATATGCCCTTTAGAGCAGACACAGTCACAATAAAAGTTAAAAAGTTACAATGTGTCCAGTGTATATACCCAGGAAATCTCTTCTTGGTACTTTTCAAGAGCTGCTGTTTTACTGAGTCTCTGAGAAGTCCTCTCGGATAATAGCTGCCACTTTTCAATAAGGTTCAGAACGAGTATCTTAGTATTTTTTCTATTTTGCTATGGTTCTAGTTTATCAACCTATTTTATTAGCTGAACTGTTGAACGTTGCTTGCTGACCAGTAGAAACTCATTGTGCTTTAGTTATTGGAAAGTCCCCAATGTCACGTCCATTTCATTCTCCGGTACAGGGAAGAGCCATCCTTGGGATTATGTTGGCGATCACAAGTCTGGGACAGTTCTTCATTAACTGAAAGGAAAAATATTAGTTAATAATTTGGAGACATCTGAGTGCCACTGGTCATTTAGAGTTCATAAGGGGTATTGGCCAGCATATCTGACACTGAGCCTTGGCAAGTCACAGAATTCCAGGTCTTCCAAGCAGGTCATACTACAGGATCTATCCTTACTTCCTCAGCCACAGCCAGTGGAAATGTAAAGGCTTCTTTCCAAAGAATGGCCCTGGTTAGAGCAGACAAATTACCACTGTAATGAGAATTGTTACATGCTAAGTATATTTAGATTTTGTTGATTAAGTTGAAACCCCCACAGCAAGTCACAGTGTCTGCCCCTGCTCATCCCTCCCAAAAATGTGTTTGGGCTCTAAGAGTCTTTAGACAGGTCAAATTAGTTTCTCCCTTTTACCTTTTGGCATATTTTACGGATGACTCTATTTCAACTTTTTGCAACCTGCTCATTCCTTAACCCCTTAATATATCATGTCAGTTAAAGCTACTCTACTAAAATATTAAAACTCAACCATGACATCAAATTACTGAATCTAGTGGCATTTTCCAATCCCTAGTTTTCTTCCTCAGTAGCATTTGACACAACCCCTCTCTCAGCCTGCCCCCATTGTTCTCCTCCCTTTGGCTTTTATAGTGTGCCATCTCTGTGCTTTTATCTGCTCCTTGGCTTCAACTATTATGTCTCTGGTGATAACTAGATTTGATCTTTAGCCCTGAGATCCCTCTTGAGATCCTGACACATATTCGTTGGGATCTTCCTGGCACATCAGAAGACACAGCTCTCTTCCTGAAACCAGTATACACAACTGATCCTGCTTTCACCCTCAAAAATTTTGTTTTCAGAGGTATAATTAATCAAGCCAGAGACCAGGAGCTTCTAATCTCATGGGAGATAACAAACATGTTTATAGACTTGAACCTGAAAATGCTCTCCTAGGCTCCCACATAAAGCCCATGCAATTTATCCCTTGCTTGATACCTTGTATGCCGTGTACCCCAGGACACATGCACTTTCCCTCACCAGGCCTCCACAAATGCTTATCATGTTAGTCAGGGAACGTACATATGCGTTGGAGAGTGACAAGCCCCCAACGACATGGGCCTCAAGATTTAATAGCCAATACTTACTGAGTGCTTTTTCTGTCCCAGGCACTGTGTGAAGCTCTTTGCAATCTTTGTCATTCAATTCTTGTGATGACATGATGAGCTAGTCATCATTATTAAATTACTGATGAGCAAACTGGGGCAGAGAGATGTCATGATGAAGTAATTTGCCCAAGATCAGAGAAACTGATGAATTCAGGATTTGATCCCAGGCAGTCTGACTTCAGAGACCACACTTTCAGCTGCTGAGTCACACTGACTTTCCGTAGATTATCACTATTTCAAAGGTATTCCTTTGAGATGGCCCATGGCTTAGACTTTTAACTCACTGAAATATGAGTAATTTATTCCCTTTTATTCTTAATTGCCAATGGCTAGCTGCACAATAGGGTGCTTTGAATGAGGGACCAGTATACAGATTATAGAGCTGAAAACGGGTGACCTGAAGCATGAGATAGAAAAAAAGTGAACTTGTAAGAGTGGAGAGAGAACTGGAATGGAGAGGCCAAGAGGAAGCTCGTCAATCTACAGTGAATCATCTACCCATTGAATAAAGTGTCTCTCTGCTAGGCACCAAGTGGAGAGTGAGAGAAGTGAAATAATGCCTCCCTCACCTAAAAGAGCTTGCAATTTGACTGTCATTTCATTTCGTTGGGTCTATTTAGGAGTGTGTGCAGAGAGATTCGATAGGCAGGTGGCCTTGAAAACGCCCAAGGTCGTGGTTGTGGAAAATCCTGCAAGCAATGCAGTGTGCCCTGTCAGATCACAGGTAAAGAAATGTGATCTGACTCAGGCAGATCTTTATGTGGAAGAATCACCATCATCAATAATTATTATGACCCCTGTTATATTAAGAGATTGATCAAATTCTTCAAAGATTTTGTAAAATTCTTGCCTTTTTAAAACTGTCCCACAGTTGGTGGTAAGTTGTTTATCTGCCTGGACCAAAAGGATTCAACAGATAGAACCCCTACTGAGGACTCGATACTCCAGAGGTGGTATGTGGGTGAAGAGGGTTATCTCAGGAACCAGCCAGGGTTCGAATCCTCTTTCCACCACATTCTGGGTAGGTAACCTTGGGCAATGTACTTAATTATCCCAAGACTATTTTAATAATAGCTACTGTAATGCTATAATGACACAAACAGTGCCTTCTTAGAATTCTCAAGCCAGCGGGGATAATAATGACTAACAGTTGTTCAGAACAGGCACTGTTAAGAACCTTATATGTATTACCTCACTTAATCACCATACCAGTCCTCTAGTATGTCCTGCTGTTATTTCTATTTTACAGAGCAGGAGACTGAAGCTTCAAGAGGTTGAGTAGAGTGAATATGAAGTTCAGTGAAAGATGCCTAGCCAGCCTGTATATTATCAGTACTTTAGTTATTTGTTTTAGGATGTACATTGCTGAAGACCAAGACCTGGTCAACTACCTGACTTTCTTTTTGGGTCCAACTCCATGCAAAAACATTTAGGCATTTCAGTAGACACATTTAAAAAGTTTTTAAAATAATGACTATTTGGGGCCATGTTTGTCATTTTAGACAACAATTTGTTCCTGATCAGGGTGATGGTGTTTTGGGGGTGGGGTGGCCTGGAAGTAGAGGTTTGGGAATCTCAGGACTTGGGGAAATAAGAAAATGAAAACTTCCAACCTAGAAGGTGCAAAATGTCCATGACAATGGCTGATGCAGGGTTTGGCTATGGGAAGTTCAAGACTCACACTTCCACCCCCAGAGCTACTCCTCAAGGAAATTGACACAGATTGAAGAGTGAGGGATGTTAGAGAATTTTCTTTCTTCCTTTGTGAGAAAATTGATGTTCTCTACATACTAATTAAATTTACATGCACCATTACCTCCTAAGGCTTGAAGTGTGGGGATTAATGTTGAGTGATTACAATACCTCCACATGCTTTCCATCACATCTTAAAATGGCTGTCTTGTCTGACAGACCCAGCTGTATGAGACAGGCAAGCTGGTTTTCTGTTTTAGAATGCAGGACTCTGGGGTTCTGTGAACATGCCAGTTAATCTGTCAATGTCCTTCTCTTTACAGGAACAAAATAGAAATGATTACACTTGCCATAACCCTGGTTGGAAGATTAACGACATGACATTTGACCATCTGTTTACAGTTTTTTAAGTGGATGCTGCGAAATGGAGATACAAACTGGTGATATTTTATTTTGAGTCCAGTCATCTCATTTGCCTTCAAACTGGAGAGAAGACAGTACTACTTACCCTTAGGAAAATGGTGCCAGAAAGAACTATAATTTTTCAAAGCTACATACTCTTAGAGTTTGGGTGGTTTTTCTTGTTAGGAGAAAGGCATATTTGGAATTAAAGCGACCAGATCAATATAAAAATGAAAACATCCATAGTCTATAGTTGACTGCTAACACTGGAAAATATAATCAATAATTTCTCAAAAAAAAAAATAGATGCAGTGATTCCATGTGGGAGAGGAGGGAAATACAACCAAAAGATGGTTTGAATATAAACTTCAGGAGAGAATATATACTACAGCTTGCCCATCAGCTGCTACCCTGACCAGGAATCTGTCAAAGACACCATCCAGGGCCCCCACTTTCCTCACCCAACTTGCGTTGGGCCCAGTCTCAACAGAACAAAAACTGCCATCAGGGAGGACTACTTTAGTCCACTCAGCTATGCTGCCCTTCTTACAGGAAAGGGTTCTGGATCCAGACCGCAAGAGAGAGTTCTTGGATCTTGCACAAGAAAAATTCAGGGTGAGTTTGTAAAGTGAAAGCAAGTTTATTGAGAAAGTAAAGGAATAAAAGAATGGCTAGTCCATAGGCAGAGCAGCCCCGAGGGCTTCTGGTTGCCCATTTCTATGGTTAGTTCTCGATTATATGCTAAATACGGGGGGATTATTTATGCCACCCCTTTTTAGACCATGTACGGTAACTTCCTGCCATTGCCAGGGCATTTGTAAACTGTCGTGCTGGTGGGAGTGTACCAGTAAGGACGACCAAAGGTCACTCTCGTCACCATCTTGGTTTTGGTGGATAGGTTGTGGGTGGCTTCTTTCTGCAACCTGTTTTATCAGCAAGGTCTTTATGACCTGTATCTTGTGCTGACCTGTCTCATCCTGTGACTTAGAATGCCTCAACTGTCTGGGAATGCAGCCCAGTAGGTCTCAGCCTCATTTTACCTAGCCCCTATTCAAGATGGAGTTGCTCTGGTTTGAATGCCTTTGACATCCTCACTAAGCATCCTCCAGATGGTTGGCCGCCACTAGTAATAGTGCTTCTAGTCATTAGTGTTCTTTCCAACAATGCATTTCAGATGAGACCCCCATTGTGTTAAGTAACCGATGCACAAATTTTTGTTCTGCCATGATAAATAGCTCCTTCTGCCTCCTCAGTCACTCTTCCTGTAAATCCTACCTGCAGCCTGGAAGCTCCAGGCACACTTCAATTAGAGCAAGCCCAAGTAGGAGACAATGGGGAAAAACCACAGAAAATGGAGGCTCATTACCTGGCTGAGGGTGCCCCTTCACTGCAGAGGATCCTGCCTCTGGTGAAGTGCTCAGCCCTGACATTTGGGGAAAAGACTTAAGGGAAAAGTCCAGGTTATTATTGTAGCTCTTTGATCAGACATTTAATGAGGCCAGAGTCAGAAACATACAGATTTGCAACATCTCCTCTAACTTCTGCTGATTTTGACAGATGCCTTATGTGGTTTTCTAGAACTGGGATTATTTTCTCTTAGTCTAAAAAACCCATAGTAAAAATCCATTCCAGTATCTGGGACAATCTCTGGTATATGATAGACTGACAGATATTTGTTGAATAAATGAATGAGAATTATCACTATCCAGAATATGACGTAAGTTTGGAGTAAGCTTTAAAGTTGGTGTAACGGTTCTACCCAGTGATCATGGACCCTCATCGTGAGAGGCTGACATGCTTGCTTTCCCTTGAGTTAGATCCTATGCTACAAAAATAAAGGCTCTGAGATGGAAGGGACAGACTTACAGTTGTGGGCAAGTCTAGAAGTCAAGAAAAGTCAGTAGTGCGTCAGAATTTGGAATGAAGAAGGGGGAAGGAAGTGTGAAGAAACGAGGTTATTGGGAGCCTCTGCTCCCTTCACTCAAATCCTTCAGAAGTAGTTTCAATTGTATTGAGTTACAAACTTGTAGTAACTTCTGTCTGAGACTTGATCTCTAGATCACTTGCACAGTCAGGGATGTGCTGAAGATAGGAGGGCATCACCGTGCAATCATCACAGAGATGTACACACATGGAGCAGGCTGGCACTTGGACTGCATTTCCCCTGCATCAGCCCCTGTGATGCCAGGCCGTACCCTGCATGTTGACTTTTCCAGGGCATTCTAAAGGAATGTGATTGATACATTTATACCTCAGAATTATCTAAATAAAATACCATAGACCCATTTACATGTTACATATTACAGACGTTTTTCCAGGAACGAGTAAAACTATAAAACAGATTCACCCTCTTTTTGCAGAGCCTATCCCAAATACCAGATGTCCCACTGAATTAACTGGCCTGTAATAGCTGGGACGTAGAGGCCAATAAAGGATCTTGATATCCATGAGGCTATCTAGACCTGTACTTGCTGCAGTTTTTGAAATACTGAAAATTTCATCTAGCCAAGGAGGCAGCTGGAGATGAAACTTGGAAACTACAGGAAGTCTCCAAGTCCCCAGTGGTGACATCAGCATCCTTTTATTGTCCCTGGGACGTTCAGTGTTAATGGGAGGCTGAGATGCAGTGAGTGTTACTGATGGGAATCTTTGCAACAACTCTGAAAAACTTTTCGACTTGGAAGACACTGAAGGGAAGCCATGATTAGGGTATTGGGAATTTCTTATTTTCTCTTCCTTTTTGGAGGCTGCTTCCGGGATTCAGTGGTAGTGAATGGCCGGGTGACAGAGCATCCAACAGACTGGTCTTAGGGCAGTGGAGGATAAACTGACTTAACAAAGAAAAGGATTTATCACATGAATATTATAGAGTGAGGCAGAATATGGCTTGACTACTCAACAATAGGGCTGTTCATAAAAATGAGACACACAAAAAATGAAAGGCTAGGGGGATATTTGAGTAAGTTATGATGAAAAACTTGATTCCATGACATACTCTCTGTGTCTTCTAGGATTACTTTATGTTCTCAATCTCATCTTAGGAACAAATATCCCTCATTGTACTTCTGTTAGTTAGGCTATATATTATAGCATTAGTGATTTAAGATTTTGAACATCTGTTTATATAATAACATACATGAAGGCATTTCTTGGACCTGCCAAGCTTTTGTGGAAGAGGAGGGGTTTTCAAATTTGTTTTAATATGACACTATCCAAATTAAGAAATATGACTGGTCTTTGTTGATTTTACTAAAATAGTTATTGTCCTTGATGATATTAATCTCATGTGTACTTGGCACAGTATTAACACATAGTCTATCTAATTACAGCCCAGTTTCATTAATTTTAATTATAGCAGAATAAACAGTGTCAATCCAAGACCCAAATGTCCATTCCAAATCACCTTAAGCTTCCTGAGTTTTTTAGTTTTGTTTTGTTTTTTCCACCTTAAGACTGTAATCCCATGGAATGTTTACACCAAGGTCAAATATTTATCTATCAGGGCTTTACATTTACAAAGACTGTGACAGCAGAATGTTTGGAATATTTCCTGACCAGAAGTTCAGTGGATGAGAAAATTGTGTGTGTGTGCACACACATGGGCGCATACACACGCATGGACATGCATGCACATGGCCACATACACACATCTGTAAAGAAGGCAGACCATGATCAATGTTTTCACGTACGTGACTCTATTGCCTTGAGAGAGAGAGAGACAAGCAGCCACACGTCAAAATTGCTGATTCACAGTGTATCTGTGATGTGCTACAGGTGAGGCCCCCTACGGCAGGCCTTCACATCCCGGCACAAGATCCACACAGTGGATCAAACTTGGCCAGATTGGTCAAGGAACTTGAGAGAACACTGATTGAGAGACCTACAAAAAAAAAAATGTGTTTCTCCTGGCCAGAAAACACTGACAGTGCATCAGTATATTTCAAGGTGTGCTGTGGGAAAGGATGCCCAAGTCCTTCCATGTGTGGCCTCACACTTACCCTCAATCAGTTTGATCCTGAAGTAGGCGATGAGGAGGAGCAGCAGCAAAGTCACAGGGAGGAAAACCCCAGAGAACAGGAACCAACCAGGGAGCTCCCTCATGAAAGCTGACAGTATAGAGCCCATTGCCAACCACACAGACCCCACGGGGACCGTGGGAGTCACAGTCGGGACCAGGGCAACTTTACTCTGAGGCTGCACTTGTTTTCTTCTGGAGCTCTGGCCTTTGCTCAGCATGTCTCAGTGGAACTTTGTGTGGACTTTGCTCTATTTAAATAGTCTGCTGAATTCTGATAGGATTGCTGGCAGGTTACTCTGTAACTCAGCTACTAAGTGTAGAGGAATTGAAAAGTCCGTCTTCCAAGCTCTTTCAGAGATAAGTATGTATCTGGCAGGGGGTAGGGATGACCCTGGGAAGCTGAGTTTTTTTTCTGTGACAAGTTTATTTGGAATGAAAATTACCTGACTAAGCATACCTCGTTATTACATATATTCTTTCTATGTATTCTCAGACATAGAAGAGTTTTCCCTGTATTTCCTAAATTTTAGAGTTAGAATTTTCTTAATAGTTATGTCACTGTACCTAAGTACTTATGTCTAGAAAAAAGTGAATTTTCCTTTATGCATAGTTGATACAACTAATATCAAGGAAAGAGAAACGAGGCTTTTCCCACATGTAGAAATTCTTCCTC